AGTGAAAATATAAAAGGATGTTCCTCATCCATGTTTTCAAATTCGGTTTTCATGTATCGGCACGTGAAATTTTCAGTGGGAAATTCCTCAACTTAGGAGCCAGACAGCATATTTACTATTTTTCCATATACGAAAGTGTAAAACAGTTATATTTTTAGTAAGCAAACGTTTGTTGGACGGAACTGCGCAAAACGCATGATCGCACTGGCTACCCTGGTGCGCTTCGCTATTTTTTAACAAACTGCATTCCTCAAGAAGTAGAAAATGCTGCTACTGAATGGCGAACTTCAAGAATTGTCTGATTTGAAGAAAGAAACTAACTTCTTCGTGAAAATCATACGTCGATAAGCTTCCTGTACGTATGAGGACACAATGCGCAGCGCGCACATGTCCACCGCTTGATCTATCAGTTTTGCCAATTGCTCGGGTGTACAATTCGAGACATCATCATAGCTAGAATGCAACAGAAGCAATTATCACATGAAAAATACATGGTTTGCTCAAAGAGATTACTCATTTTGACCAAGAATTTGCTCCCAAAAAAGATAAGTTTAATTCCATGGGCAAAAATATGCACCGTTTCTGCCCAAGAATTTCCATTACCGAGCAAAGTGCGGGTAAAAAAAAGGCCTCACCGATGCCCGGGAAGCTGTATTTACCTTAGAATTCTTCGAAGGCAAAATCATTCCCCCCAGCAAAATTCATTCGGTTTTAAGGATGAATACTGTTAAGGGCCCAGTAAAACGATCTATTCCTGGTAATCAAATCTGCCTCTGTGTTCAGTGATACGATATTTTATGTTGAAGTAATGCTTCGTGTTGATTTCTGTGGATTATACTGAAGCTGCTGGAATGGTTTCCACTTACTTTGCAATGCTGAAGGAATGAGAAGTTTTCGCTGAACAGAATGCTTCTGGAAGACGGCATGCAGCTGCTGTGGCACCAGTTGATTTCCGCCCTGGTATGTCGGATTTGGCATCATTCCTAGCTTTTGCTACAAAACAGCATGAATTATTCAATAAAAATTTCGTAAATTCTGCACTTGCTATTACATTCATAAAGAAGATTTCTTTTAATTCATTGCAGTTGCGCATTTCAGGAAAGGGTGAAAACTATTCCACAGTTCCCAACTTTTCAGATAACTTTACCATTTTAACAATGGCGAAAATCGCTAAATCGGGAACTAAGAAAGCTGAAAGGCTGAAATTTTCACGGAATGTTCCCAGCGCATGTACAACTCAGATTTATTAAATTCAGCCCCTCGGTTTGAGTGGTTCTCATGTTCGGCCCCGCAAAATTTTGTTCATTTCCGACCAGAATGCAATAGCCCGGCTTATCCCCTGCACTAAGAGACAGACACTAAAAAATGGCCCGACTGGTAACATTTCGCAGAAGTGAGTCGACTGAAGGCAAAGCTCTCGATGGTTCACTCTTCCGAGGGTTCTTGGAGCAGGCTGATAGCAAGGTTTTGACAAGAAATGGTGGGAAAACGCCAAGAAATCGTGAGTTTAATCTTTCAATCAGTTTTGGCTGAAATCTTGCATAATTTTGCTAGAATCATGAATAATATCCTCGAATTTCACTGCCTCATAGTCAGTCAACACCAGAACTTCATGGCCTTCCATTCGCTAGAATGTTCTTTATTTTTTTTGAAATTTCAGAACAAAGCGTAGAATTTCTGGTTCACATGTCAATTACTTCATAAAAATCAATTAGAGCGTTCAGAATGTCATTTTAGTCAAATTAAGTGTCCGAAAGTAAATTTTGCGCCTCCTGGCCATTTTTTAAAACAATTTTAGCTGAGTCTTCCAGTTTAGTGCAATTATTCGTCTCACACAAACGATTTTGCTGCAACTCTCGCTCATTTGTCCACTTTTCTCATTCCCATCTTCTCTCACCAGTTTTGTCACTGAATATACCATTCATTGGCGGATAAAGAGAGGGGGGGGGGCGATGGGTCTTTCGAAAAACTGAAGGAAATTCTCTTCCGCACCCCTGGTCTTCCCCCTCCCCCCGTCCCACGACCTAGTCGTTGCCCCTCCTTTTTCTTCCTCTTCGTCGCCGTTCTTCGACTCCTATGTAC